GAAATGTGAGGGTGTTTATTGTGTAGGTTGGCTTCTATGCTGTAACAGTTAAGAACTATGCACTCTTTATAGTTAATCCTGAGAAATAAAAAAAAAAAGTTGGCAGAGGCCCTTTATTTTGTACCATCTGTGAAGCCTTGCTATTATATCATTCAGATTGTAATAAGTTGCTCTGAGCAGTGTGAAGGCTAAATTTAGATAAGAGGGGAAAAACTTCATCTTCCCAACTGGGTATGGGGAAAGAAATCTTTATTTTCCCAAGTACTTAAAAATAGTCCTGTATTTCTGTGTTCTGGCATAGAATTTCTTTTGGAAGAGTCCTTCATGTAAGCATACTCAATTCCAGTTGTTCCCACAGCTTGCTCCTATGGTGTGGAAGGCAGAGATGAAACTACCATATACATACCAGAATCTCATTCTTTTATGTCCAGCAGATAAGGAACACTTGAATAAACAGAGCTGGAGCATGGGTTAGAGCACAAGGTGGAAGACCCAAATGCCCTTGGGGTCCTGGCAGGTTTGGTCAAAGGGTAAGAAAAGGTAAGGTCAAGTGTAAGAAACGGACTAGAAGAGTGTGAGGGGAACTAAAGAGGGCATACCAGGGGGTAAAAGGATTTGATTCAATTTGTAAAAAACCACAATGGAGCATCCCATTTAAAATGGCTGGCCAGCCAACTTGCTTATTTGACTTCCTTTTCCACACTCTTTTAAAATGACAGTAAAGAAATAAAAAAGGTAGGTAGCTACCAAAACGTCTTGAGAGGAGATACTAGCATAGAACGATTTTGAGACAAGGCTGGGAAGACAATGGAAAGTAGAAGAAAGGGAATGACTTTTTTTTTTAGCTGGAATAAGTTACAAGCTTTGGAAGACAAGGGTTAGGAATATGAACACTGAGTGATTGAAACCACCAGTGTTCTCCTTCCCCACAGCCAGGAGACGGTGTGTGCCCTCACCCCTGAGAGAGACAGCAGGTATAGTCCCCTGTGACACTTAACTGGAGAGGCCCTGATGAGAACACTGGCATAGCTCAGAGTGGGAGTGAGGGTGAGCACCGGGTGAAAAATTAACTCTGGAACCAAAGCCCCCTACCTCTCCACCCCAATTCAGGACACTGGTAGCCTGGCCTATTTCTGGCACCCAGGCCTGAGAATGGAAGATTCTTCTTCGTACAAGCTGAACAGGCCTCAGAAAAAAACCCTCTACTTCCTGATATGTGGGTGTCTCCCCATGCAAAAGGCAGACTGCAGTCTGATATCCTTATGGTGAGACTTACCAGTCAATAAACCAGCACCTTTGCATTCTCTCTCTCTCTCTCAACTGCTCCCTTCAAAATAGCTTTATAATGCCTCACTTTTAATGGGGGAGATCCACGGGTCCCTGCACATTAGGAAAAAATCTCTAAGTGTAAGAAATCACAAGAAAAGGCAAAGAAGAAACAGACAATAGAAGGAGAAGAAAACAAAAAGAGGAAAAAAATGAGTATCCTCAAAGATGATAGATTTGTTACTGATGAAACAACAGGATGCTAAGAAAAACAGAATTCTCAAAATAAGAAGTTCTTTAAAGTTAAAAACTGAAACTTAAATAAAGTTTGGTGGTGGAAGGATAAGAAGCTAAATCCTATAGGATAAAAAGACAGAAATAGGAGTGAAAAGAGGATCACAGAAGTCTTAGAGTAAGAAAAAACAAAATGGAGGGAAGGAAATTAAAACACAGATAATGTATGTATATTAAACACCCATGAAGTATCTAGAAAAAAAAATCTGAAATCCAGTGAGGAAAAGTTCACATCATGAAACTGCAAAATACTAAAAATAAAGAATTCTTTGAAGCTTGCAGAGGTGGGGGAGGTAGAACAAGTTCCTTATAAAAGAAAGAGAATCAAAGTGGCATCAGATTTCTCAACAATACTCGGAGCTAGGAAATGTAGCATACCACCTTAGAAACCAAGTGAAAATAATTTCTAGCCTAGAATTCTATACCTAGCCGAACCAAATATCATGTTTGAGGGTAGAATAAAGACATTTTGAGATACGTAAAGACTCAACAAATTTAACCCTAATGCACTTTTTTTTAAAAAAAAATTTTTATTTCTTTCTAGGAGAGAGAGAGAGACAGCGTGAGCAGGGGAGGGTCAGAGAGAGAGGGAGACACAGACTCCGAAACAGGCTCCAGGCTCTGAGCTGGCAGTCAGCACAGAGCCGGACACGGGGCTCGAACCTACGAACCGCGAGATCACGACCTAAGCGGAAGTCGGACGCTCAACCGACTAAGCCACCCAGGCGCCCCAACCCTAATGCACTTTTTATAGGCAGTTATATATTTCAACAAACTGAGGTAAAGAGAGAAAGAGGAAGACACAGAGTCCAGGAATGGGATCCAAGACAGGAGAGTGATAAGGTCAGTTGTACAACAGATCTAGAAAGTAACCAGAGTGTACTTACTGGAGAAGAGAAGGAAGATTCTAGGTTTTAAAAATAAACAAACTGACAGATTGTCTGATATGTTGGAACATGTAGAAAAAGTACCTTCAGCTTTTAGAGCCTTTGGAATAAAATCAGCAGGAGATAATAGGAATTTAAGCGTTGTGTTAACTAGTTAAAAAATAGCAGTTGTACTAGAAAGCAGAAGGAATCACAGAACACCATTTGGCTCAAAGTAAACAATACTGGGGCGTCTGAGTGAGTCAGTTGCTTAAGCGTCTCACTTCCATTCAGGTCATGATTTCACCGTTTGTGAGTTAGAGCCCCGCATTGGACTCTGTGCTGACAGCTCGGAGCCTGAAGCCTGCTTCGGATTCTGGATATCCCTCTCTCTCTGCCCCTCCCCTGCTTGCGCTCTCTCTCTCAAAAATAAGTAAACATAAAAAAAAAAAAAACCTGAGCCATACTGAATAACTATAATAATGCCAATATCTACTACTGATTGAACAAAAATTATAATGAAGCTATATTGAAAGAACATACAAGATGGGTCGGGAGAGAGAACTAAACCCTCATTTATGTGACATGAGGTTTAGAGGTAATGTTTATTGTTCAATCTAAAAAAGCAGTATAAGCATATGATTTAGAAATTAGTTAAGCCCCAGAAGAAAAAAAAAACTAAGTTTCTTTGTTGAAACCTTGGTTGGAGGGAGGGGTGCTGGGAATGTATGGGTGACTGGAGAGCAGGGATGCAAACCCTGAATTGTTAATTCAGTCTTTTAGTACTATTTGATGTTTAATCTAAACATAAATAACAATAATAAACATTTTGACTTAAAAGTAAACAAGTCTGTTAACTAGCCAAACCAAATATGCCAACAGTCTAGAAAGTTTAAATCCCTGAAATGGAAAAATCCAACCGATCTGAGTATCAGACACCTGGGGTTGTCTTTAGTTTTGCGAGTTTGCAGGTCAATGTATCCTTGATCAGCTTACTTAACTCCTGAACCTGCATTTCCTCATCTGCAAAAGGAGGTTAAAATCTCTCCAATGTCTATGAGTGCTTTGTGAGCTACCGTACAGTGTTAACCAACATCTGGTATCCCACAGTTAAAGCCACTGAGGGTTAGTCTAGACCCTACTAAGCTCAGGCTTATCCTAGGCAAAGATTTTCGAGAATGTGCAGTGCACAGGGCAGGTTCAGGGCAAGAAGAGGCCAGGTCTGTGCATGCTAACGATGTAGCGCCTGTATCCTGCAACCACGGCCTTACTAAGGTGAAATTCAGCTCAAGGGCCAGGATGAAAACAACAGGCCTGGGGCGTCTGGGCGGCTCAGTTGCTTGAGCGTCTGACTTCAGCTCAGGTCGTGATCACAAAGCTCATGAGTTCGAGCTCCGCGTAGGGCTCTGTGCTGACAGCTCAGAGTCTGGAGCCTCCTTCCGATTCAGTGTCTCCCTCTGTCTGCCCTTCTCCTACTCAAGGTTTCTCTCTCAAAAATAAATAAAAACATAAATTAAAACAAACAAAAAAACCCAAAAACAGCAGGCCAGCCTCCTACAAGGCAATGCATTTTATGTCAGAGCTCTCAGGTTAATTACAAAGGATCTGACTCCTTTGAGGACTTTTCTTTACATGATCATTTTAAAAGTAATAGAAGTGCCTGAAACAGAAACGGGGTATTTACTGAATAACTCAGGGAACAGCAAACTTACAAGTTAATCTTCCAGAGCTAATTAGAGTGGCAGAATCACAGAAGAGCACCGAAAGGCCGCAAGCCCAGCGCCCAGCTGATGTTTCCAACTCCTCTACAACCTGCCCTTCTCCCACAGGCTACGGGCAGTGTCCTCGAACCCGCTGGAACCCGGCGTGCCCGGTGCCTGAAGTGAGGCCACGCGCACCAGCAGGAACGGGAGCCTCCGGTCCTAATTCTTCCTGCGGGGCTGGAGCTGGGCTCTCCGTAGCTCCCACCCTCCACGCTGGTCCAGATTCTCAGGGCTGAAGAGAGCCAGTCGCCACGCTCTTCCACCTGACAGCCGCCTTCGGGATCTCTAGGGACAGTCCCGCACCCCGTCCTGCAGCCCTCCCTCCGCGCCGCCCCAACTGCACAGGACGGCCGCCTCTCGTCCCCCGTCGCAGCCGATGAAGACCAGGCGGGTTTGGGCCGGTTCACTGCGGGCCCGCTGAACCGACACCGTGAAAGGGCAGGACCGCGGCGCTCACTGCACTTGCCGCGCGTTCAGTCCCCAAATCGCGACGCAGAGCCTACTGAGTGCCGCCGGATCCTCAGCGCCCGCCCCGCAGAGCCCGGGCCGCACGCCGGCCTCGCGCGCGGAACCAGAGCCCGCGCTTGCCCCGCCCGCCCAGGCCGCTCCGCGCGCGCGGGCAACGGCCCTTCGCTCCCCGCGGAGGCGCCCCTGGAGGTCGGGTGGCCGCGCCGCGCGGGGCGGGAACTGGGGGTTGACGTGGCCCGGGCCCGCTGCCCGCGTCCCCCCGGGACCCAGCCTCGCGCGTCCCCGCGGCGCCGGGCACCGCGAACGCACGGCTCGCGGAGGAGCGCGGGCGGCGCGGACTCACAAGGACTCCAGGTGCTTGAGCTGCTGCAGCTGTTGCGCGTCGTGTCGCCGCCGCTTCTGCTCTCGGCGCCGCTGCAGCTCCTGCTCCGCCGACTCCCGCGGCCGCCGCGCGCCCCCGGCCCGCGCGTCGTCACGCCCCGGCCGGGAAGACATCGCGGCCGGCGCGGCGGAGGCGACCCGCGGCGCGCCTGAGGCGGCTCCAGTAGCTGAAGCGGCGAAGACGGCACTTCCTCCGCGCCGCGCCCGGCCGGCCCCGCAGCGCCCCCTCCCGCCGTCCGCTCGGGCAGGGCCCGCTGCCTCCGCCGAGGCCTCCCGGTCCCCGCCTCCCGCCAGGCCCGCCGGCCACCTCCCTGCGCCGCGGCCCCCAGCCCGCGCTCGGAGCGCCGTGGCCCCGCGCCTGGCCTGCGGGCGCCGGAGGTCGGAGGGCGGCCCCTGGCGGCGGCCGCGAGGCGGGCGGGGGAGGCCTGCGGGGCAGCCGGGAAGCCCCTCCCCCCGGAGGCCGGGAGCGGGTGCGAGGTGACTTCGTAGCCCCAGGTGGGTCCAGGGGCGCTGCTGCTACGCGGTGCTGGGCTTCAAACAGCTTTGAAGAAAGCAAGGCTCTCTATAGAAATTCTCTAATTTTCCAGAGCATGGTTAAAACAGCGTACAGTTTATTTAGACAAGTTTTGTGTGCTGGACAAAAAAGCTGTATATACTGAGCACTTTTTAGGTGTTGGTCATTGAGCTAAGCCCTTAATTGTTGATTTAATCTTTAAAAACTCGGGGCACCTGGGTGGCTCAGTCGGTTAAGCGTCCGACTTCAGCTCAGGTCATGATCTCACGGTTCGTGGGTTCGAGCCCCTCATTGGGCTCTGTGCTGACAGCTAGCTCAAAGCTCCGAGCCTGCTTCCGATTCTCTCTCTGACCCTCCCCTGCTCACGCTGTGGCTGTCTCTTTCTCTCAGAAATAAATAATTAAAAAGAACATTAAAAACTTACTCAGTGCTGTTGTTACCCGTATGTATTAATCTTACCTTATTGTGTAGATAAAGAGGTTCAGGGGCGCCTGCGTGGCTCAGTCCTTTAAATATCCTACTGTTGATTTCCACTCAGGTCATGATCCCCTGGTGCCTTAAGATCAAAATCCTTACCCTACCCCTGCACTAGGCTCTGTGCTGACTGCACGGAGCAGGCTTGGGATTCTCTTTCTCTGCCCTTCCCCCACTTATTCTTTCTCTCTCAAAAATAGATACATCAACAAATTTTAAAAAGGAGGCCCAGAGTCAAATAGCAGGCCCCAAGATATAGAAGTAGTAATTCCTGGAGCCAGGATGGAAAGTGTTAAGTGCTTAATTAGGTTGCATTTTGAAAATGTGTCTGATAAGTTATGATAATCGTTTTAGCTTTAACATAATGGAAGAAACCAGGAAGGAAGTAACAGCATTGGGAATATATCCCTCAAATGTGGTGTTCAATATAGTTAATGCTTAAAAGATATGAGGAGCTCATTTGGATTTATTAGAGAAAATAAAAATGAACAAATGTATAAAGGCTATGAACAGAAACAAAATATTACATTGATATGTCTAGAGCTTGGAAATCAGATTCTCTTATTAAAGGAAAGAACTGGTGCATTAACCAGTCTAGTGCTTGATACAAGTTGCCTGAACCAGTAAGGTGCCTGAAATATCCTGGGCGTGAGGTATTCAGTTCTGGTTTTCCAGGTTTGATGAACTACTTGATTCCCTTCAAACTAATTTTTGTTTAAACCAGCTAGAGTGGATTCTGTTGTCTATGACTAAGAACTGTCAGAAACAATGTTTGATTGCAAAGTTAGTTTTATTTTTTTTATTATTTTTTAATGTTTATTTTTTGAGAGAGAGAGAGAGAAAGAGAGAGAATGTGACAGGGGGTGTGGGGAGAGAGAGAGACAGAGGATCGAAAGCAGGATCTGTGCTGAGAGTGGAGAACCTGATGGAGGGCTCAAACTTAAACCATGAGATCACGACCTGAGCTGAAGCTGGACGTTTAACCAACCTAGCCACCCAGGCACCTCACAAAGTTAGTTTTTAAAATTAATCTAGATAGGGGTACCTGGGTGGCTCAGTTGGTTAAGTGACTGACTCTTGATCTCAGCTCAGTTCTTGATCTTAAGGTCTTTGAGTTCAAGTCCTCCAGCTGCTTCGCCCCTTTGTGTTCTATGCTGGGTGTGATGCCTACTTAAAAAAAAATCATCCTGCATGTCCTGATAATAAAGGAATATAATGGTAATATAATTCATTATTTAGAAACATAAGGTTTCCTTCTTACATTTTAAACTAACCTCTTCTAATTGTCACACATGAGAGGTGAGGGTACTCCGTAACTCAGTCATTTGAAAAGTGGAGTTCCTGGTCCCAGCTTGTGTGGAAGCCCCTGCTACTGCTACTAGTGTGATTTCACATGTTTGAGCACATCTAGTCCATGTTTGAGGTGAGCTTTCCAGGATCCTGACAGTATCAGGGCCCATGGAGCCTCCTGAGCAAGAACCCACCCACTAATGGTCATAGGCATCAGGCACCCCAGTTTGGTCAGGAGTAAAGCCACCCTAGGAGGAAAGGAATAATTTCGGTCATTTGGTTGGTGTGAACCACTCAGATTCATCTCTGGTATGCACCATGGACTCGTCTGAACTCCCGGGAGTGCCAGAAGCTGTGAAGTTAGAAAGGTGGAGGAAAGAGCTGATAAAAAATTCAAAAACAGTCATTTATTCATTCATCAAACAGCAAAATAGACCTGCTATGTAAATAATAAATTGCCTTTGTGAAGTTTATATAAGAAAAATGTTGAATCGACAATTAACCCACATATTAAGATATCAGTTATGATCAGTTCTATGAATATATATGGAGGTATTTATTCCAGTGGTGGTCCAGGAAGTCTTCACAGGGAAGGGGACATATCAGCAGAGACTTAAAGGGTTCATAGGAATGGAACTGAGGGAGCAAAGAAAGGAAAGCATCCCAAGAGGCAGAACAGTCTGTGGAAAAGATGCTTTGTTACAGAAGAAACTGAGAGAAGGCCAGTGTGGGGCTGGAGCCGGGGAACAAGAAAAACCATGAAATGAGACTGGAGAGGCAGACAGGACAAGATTGTTCAGGATCTTTTAGACCTTGTGAAGGACCTGGATCTAAAAGTAAGTGTGGTAGGAAGGTAATGAAGAAAATAAAATTGGAAGAAGTGATTATCATACCTGAATTTTAAATATTTCTCTAGCTACCATCTGGTACCACATTATGTGATGCTACACATATTCTGCAGGTGTTGATGTGCCAAATCTGCTTTTATGATGTTCCAGAAACATAATATTCTATATTATTCCAGAAATATTTATTGGACTGTTAAATGTTATATTCATATTGTTCAAACTTTGGGTCAAGAGTCATTAGAGGATTGTGAAGTCAACTTAGGGAATTGCTGGCGATATTGTAAACTATGAAAGAAAACAGAAAAGAACAGAAAGAAATATCAGAGCGTGTCATGCATAAATAAGCTAGGTATTATCTTTGCAAATTAATTTTGCCCAATGAGTGAAGGCAAAAAATAACCGAGCAATTAGCTCAATAAATAGTTGGCTTGATGATTGGCATAGTTCTCTATGTCTCTAACATGTATGAGTTTTAAAAAATAACATCTGCTCCGTGGACAGTTCTGCTTTGGGTTGGCTTGATGGATCCCAGCTCTGCTGGACTTGGTTGGTCCAAGATGACATCACTCATGTGTCTAGTGGGGCTGTGGAAATGACCCGACAACATGTTTCTCATCTTTCAGCAGACTTCTACAGGTCATTCACAGAGAAGTGGTGGCTGTATTTCCAAGAGAAGCATGAGAGGGAGAAGCTCTTTTTGAGGTTTTGCTTGCATATTTACTAATGTCTCACTGACCAAAGCAAGTCAAGTTCAGATTTAAGGATAGAGATGCCAATTCATGATGTAAAGAAGTGTGCAAAGATGGAAAAAAATTACAGCTATTTTTGTAACCTATCACACTCATTAAGAGGAATTATGGCACCAGCTGTTGAAAATAAACCTTTCATGCTACAAATGATAAATTACCTTAGCTTTCTCAGCAAATAGTATTCTTCATACTATCCCATGCTATCACTGAAATAGGTTGAATTTGGATTATCACAAGCCTTCAGAAGCTTTTCCTGTCACAGGGAATATGTATTTTTTAAAAAATTAAGCAGTTACATGAGGGCACATGGGTGGCTCAGTCAGTTAAGTGTCTGACTCTTGATTTCTGCTCAGGTCATGATCCCACAGTTTGCAGGATTGAGCCCTGAGTTGGGTTCTGCACTGACAGCGTGGAGCCTGCTTGGGATTCTGTCTCTCTTTCTCTCTGCCCCTCCCCTGCCCATACTTGCACTCTCTTTCTCTCTCTAAAAATAAATAAACATTTAAAAAATTAGGCAGTTACATATCCTAGCAGGCTGAAATATAAATTAGTAACTCAAGATAATTTTGATTTAATTATTTTCATACAGTATTTTATTCTATTATTTAAAAACTTTTATTCTGGGCTACCTGGGTGGCTCAGTTGGCTAAGTGTCTGACTCTTGGTTTTGGGTCTGGTCATGACCTCACGGTTTCGTGGGTTCGAGCCCCCCATTGGGCTCTGTGCTGGCAGCCTGGAGCTTGCTTGGGATTCTCTCTCTACCTCTCTCTCTGCCCCTTCCCCACCCACACTGTCTTTGTCTCTCTCAAATAAATCTTAAAAAACAAAACAAAACTTTTATCTAATTACAAAGGTAATGCATGCCATTGAATGAGTAGTGGAAAACAATGAACATACAAAGGAAAAATCAATTCCTAAGTCCATTGTGTAGCCACAGTAAGGATTTTTGTGAAAGTCCTTCCAATATTTTCCCTTTATTTTTCTTTACAAAATACAAATGGCATACATCTGTTACATTTTTTTCCTCACATTATGAACACTTCAAGTCAAATGTTTCAATAATTTGAATTTTAATGGCGGAATAGAATGTCATCATAGTTTGCCTATGCCCCTATTATGTCAATCCAGTAATTTCCATTTTTATTAAAAAATTTTTTTTAAAAATAGGCTCTGCGCCTGATGTGGGGTTTGAACTCACTCATGATCAAGAGTCAGATGTTTAACCAGCTGAGCCAGCCAGGTGACCCCCGTTTATTTTTTTTATAACCAATGTTGTGCTGGTTTAATAATATCAAAGTATTAAAACTGAATGATCTTGATGATTTTCATGAAATTATTTTATTTTTAAGAACTGTAATAATTTAGGGGCGCCTGGGTGGCCTAGTCGGTTAAGCGTCCGACTTTCGCTTGGGTCATGATCTCGCGGTTCGTGGGTTCGAGCCCCGCGTCGGGCTCTGTGCTGACTGCCAGCTCAGAGCCTGGAGCCTGTTTCAGTCTGTGACTCCCTCTCTCTCTGACCCTCCCCTGCTCACGCTGTCTCTCTCTCTCTCCTAGAAATAAATAAAATTAAAAAAAAAAAAAAAGAACTGTAATAATTTAGAATTGTATTTTCTAGTCGGAAGGCGAATTATGGTGAAAAGCAGGATATTTAAAGCCCAAGATAAAATCTAATGAAAAAAACAAGAACAGAAGTTTAAGGTTGGTGACTTTTAGAGAATTATACCTATCGTGATTTTGAAAGCAAAGATAAAACAGTTTAAGAAACTGGCATTATTATTATGTTCAATTGTAAGGTTAAACATTTATGTACCTGTATGCCAGGTAATCCACTCCAGGGAACAGGCTACAGAGAAGAGCTCATGTGATCAGGAGATAGGTACAAACAACCTCATAGTAGCACTGCTTCTACTAGGAAAAAATAAACACCTGGAAATTGTTTAAAGGGCTCCATCACTTTGACGATCTTGATCTTTAGCTCCGTCCTCCTCTTCAGGGTGAATATGTATTGGGCCAGCACCACCCCAACCACCAGGGCACACACACTGGCACTCGCTCCTTTGGCCATTCTCGTCACCGCCGCTATGTTCAAGGATTGGGCCTCTTGCGCCTCAGGGCGGGAAAAGTACCGGCCCCTAGAGGCTCGGCAGCGCGTGCCCGCGGAAAAGCCCTGATAACTCCGCCGCATCTGCGGGAGCTTCGCCCCTAGGAAAGCCCCACCCCCAAGCGCTGACGCGGGACTGGAAGGCGTTGAGGGGGTGTGGCCTGCGTCCGCAGCGGAGTTGGAAGGCGGGTCTTCCTCCTATCCTATGTCTGAGGAGCCGTCAAAAGACGGAAAAGGGAATGGTATTCATTATCTCTCTGCTAATGAGGACCAGCGAGTGGTTCACTCCAGCACCATCCAGTAGAAATCTGCTTCCAGCCACGACCCACGCAGAAAAACGCTTCCGCCTTCCTTCCTCCTCAGCCACTCTGGACTACAGCCCCCAGAAGGCATCGGAGCTGAACCATCTGACTTGCGCAGTGGCGTTCGTTGTAAAGTGCTATGACAACAGGGCGAAGATGGCTTGGAGTTAGGGAGGAGTGGGGAGGTGTCCCTTCCGCCGTTGCTGTCCTTTATCTGCTGCATCCCACTGAGTGCCTCCCTCACCATTTCCTCCTCTTTGTGAGAAGCAGGACTTGCCGTTGTTCTGGCCTGCCTGGTCTCTTCCAAGGGATTGATGCCGTTTCCCTTGCTTATCTCTGGGGTTGACACAGAAGGGATGCGGGTTTACTCCTTGTGAGTGTCACTCCAACTCTGTGGAGCTGGTGGTGCTGCCTGGTGAGGCTCCACGTCTCCGCCTGGGACGTGGAACAGGTTGGAGCAGGGGAACGACAGGGAAGAGTGAAGCGAGGGGTTGCTTTTCTCTGCACCCTCCGTTCTTGGTCTCGTCTTTCCAGCCCTGGGACCCTGGCGGGCGTTCTTACAGGGAGATCTGCAGAGAGTTCCAGGAAAGGTGGAGCAGGACCCACCTGATTCGGCGTCAGGTAAGAGTATGTCTGGAATTAAACACTGGGAGAGTGAATGCCCTTCCTGTGTTTCGTTTTGTGGGCAAGATTGATCCCTGATGCCATGTAATGGTTTTGGGGATATTGGATGATAGGTTTCTAAAGAAGGATGTTTGCTTTAAAAATAAGACAAAGCGCAGGTACAACACAATGTGTGTGAGATTTATTAACATTTAAGAGAAAAGGTGATACGAAATTTTAAAGATTCCGTTCAGGAATGTCACGTGGTGCACAAGCAGCCTCCTGCCCTGGCACTTCAACAGGTCTTAGGAGCAAATGGTCGCAGTCCTCAGCCTATGACTGAAGTAGGATGCATGCACTAATACCCTTTAATTCTTTTTGCAATAGGATTATTGCTTCTTCTTCTCTCTGTATTGCAGACCACAGCAATTTAGATGACCTGAGCTGATTTTTATCAGGATCTCCTTTCCCCAGTCCAGTCCTGCAATTGACTTAAATTTCCTGGAGATATTCATAGTTTGTTGTTGTTGTTGTTGTTGTTTTCCATCTCACTTTTACTTTAAACATGAAACCATATCACACGCACACACAGCTTGAAGACGCTAGGGGGAAAACTATGGGTCTTCACTGAAGTCTGCCAGCATTTAGAGTGGGATAGATTTTCTAACTTGTAAGAATTATGTAAACAGAATAATTGCTGAGATTTTTTTTTTTTGTGTGTGAATAGACTGAACCCTTATTTAAAAGAATTCAAAAAAGCTTTTCATTTTGCAAATAATTTATAAGTTATTTGTTAGAGTTCAAGGAATTTTTCATTGTGTGTAGTTGTGTGTAATTGCTCTTGAGTTACAACTACACACTTGTGTTTATGGTACAATTTCCTGATGGAAACATTCATTGAAGAAGAAAAAGTCCAATATCCATAGTATATAGTAGTATTTATTTATTAAATTTTTAAAAATTTTTATTTATTTTTGAGAGAGAGAGAGACAGAGTGTGAACAAGGGAGGGACAGAGAGAGAGGGAGACACAGAATCTGAAGCAGGCTCCAGGCTCTGAGCTGGCAGCACAGAGCCTGTTGAGGAGCCTGCACTCGTGAACTGTGAGATCATGACCTGAGGCAAAAGTCGGATGCTGAACCAACTGAATCACCCAGGTGCCCCTATATAGCATTTTTTAATGTTTTAAACATTTTTTTAAAGTAAAAATTAGGTAATTTATTTATTTATTTATTTTTATTTTTTTACAAATAGTTTATTGTCAAATTAGTTTCCACATAAGACTCAGTGCTCATCCCCAAAGTGCCCTCCTCCATGCCCATCCCCCCTCACCCCCACATCCATCAGTCCTGTTTTTGTCAGCATTCAAGAGTCTCTCATGGTTTGCCTCTCTCCCTTTCCCCCACCATTTCTGCCCTTCTTCTCCCCCTTGTTCCTCCGTCAAGTTCCTCCTAATCCTCCTATACGTGCAAACATATGGTATCTGTCCTTCTCTGCCTGACTTATTTCGCTCAGCATAACACCCTCAAGGTCCATCCATGTTGCTACCCATGGCCAGATTTCATTCTTTCTCATTGCCATGTAGTATTCCATGGTATAGATAAACCACATCCTCTTGATCCATTCATCTGTTGATGGACACTTAGGCTCTTTCCATGTTTTAGCTATTGTGGACAGTGCTGCTATGAACATTTTGATGTATGTATCAAGTCTAATCCCTCAGAATAAAGACTTTCAAATATTTCTCAAAAATTATTGAAACACATGAAGTTATTATAAAACATCCCTGCCAATTAACATTTCAGTGAAAGTTTACTGTCAGTGTTTTGAATATCCCGTTTAAATATTCAGGCCAGAGGGTCAGACTGGCATTTGTAACTTTGTCTTGCTCAGGATACATTCCACCACCACCACCACCACCACCACTTCTACTATTACTACTACTAAGTTACTAGTGACATTTATGACATTTATTGAGTTCATCCTGTGGGTTGGGCATTGGGTAAGCAGTTACATGTGTTAGGTCATTTTATTTTTCTATTCTGCAGAACAATTGGGGAGGACTTGTCTAAGGTTACTCTGCTAAAGTGTGAAAGCAAAAAGGGAACCCAAATCTGTCTAATTCCCTTTCCTTGCTCTTTTGTCTTGTGTCTTTTATTGAAAATTCCAACACTGATCCCTTATAATGTTGTCTTCAAAAGCAGCATTCTTCAAATTCTATATATACTTGTCATCTTTCTTGCACTGGATGCCCTGATTCCTACTTTCCAAAATTTGAGGCAGCACTAGGATGACCTGGAGAAAGCAAAACTCCAAGTATGAACAACAATAGCGTCAGTGAACTGCCTCCTAATTCCAGGATCTGCCTTCTAATCCACATATTCTTTCCACAGGATTCTTGAGGTTATCATTGTTGCAGTGATTCTTCTAGTCATCCTTCATTATTGTAGGGCTAGGCCAGTGGGGTGTGAAAACATCCCTATCTTAAAGGAAAACTAAACCTGAGTAAATCTGGTGTGGAAGATAACATATATAAGTAGATATTAAAAATTTAAGAAAGTGTTGAGTGATAAATATGGAAAAGTATTTCTGGAATTTAGGGGATAAAGAGCTTATCTTCTATTTATTATTCTTTTTAAAAAAATGTTAAATGTTTTATTATTTGTTTTTGAGAGAGAGAAAGACAGAGTGCAATCAGACGAGGGGCAGAGAGAGAGGGAGACACAGAATCCAAAGCAGGCTCTAGGCTCTGAGCTGTCAGCACAGAGCCTGTTGCAGGGCTTGAACTCATTAACTGGGAGATCATGACCTGAGCCACCCAGGCTCCCCTTCTATTTATTATTCTAATAAGACATAAGAAATCAATCTTTTGGGGCACCTGGGTGGCTCAGTCGGTTAAGCATCTGACTTTGGCTCAGGTCATGGTCTCATAGTTCGTGGGTTCGAGCCCCGCATTGGGTACTGTGCTGGCAGCTCACCTGGAGCCTGCTTCAGATTCTGTGGCTCCTTCTCTCTCTGCCCCCCCTCTGCTCATGCTCTGTCTCTCTCTGTCTCAAAAATAAATAAACTATAAAAAAGAGAGAATTTCTTGTGGCTCTTTGTGGGTATGGACTTTCAAATTATTGGATTTAGTCATCGTTTAAAAATTTAATTAGGTAGGGGTGCCTGGGTGGCTCAGTCAGTTAAACATCGGACTTCAGCTAAGGTCATCATCTTGGGGTCCGTGAGTTTGAGCCCTACGTCAGGCTCTGTGGTGACAGCTCAGCCCTCACTCAGCCCTTGGAGTCTGTTTTGGATTCTGTGTCTCCTATTTCTCTACCCGTCTCCTGCTCATACTCTGTCTCTCTCTCTCTCTCTCGAAAATAAACATTAAACATATTAAAAATTTAATTAGGTGTATGAAATACTTTCCTGCAGTTTGAACTTGTAGTGATTAGAATTAATATTTACAGAGTATAGCTTTTTGGTCTTTGTGGCATAGTGGCACTTGTTAAGGGTTCTGGAATAGACAGAATGGTTTTGGATGCTACTTGTACTACTTACTAGTTGTGACCACTTGGGAAGGTTTTTTAATCTCTCCGTACTTGAGTAATAGTATCTACCTTCCGTTTTGAAGATTAAAACAGAATACTTGCAAAGCACTTAGAACAGTGCCTGGGACTTAGTAAATGATTAGTAAATGTTAGCTATTCATTTCTAGGGAGAAGGGATAATAGCCATTGAAAATCTTTGGTTTTTATTTTTCATTTACTTAAAAAAAAAACAAAACCACTGAGGAGCTGGAAATCAACATTGCATGAATAGGGGATAAAATGCAAATCATTGTTTCCTATTTTTATTCAAGACAGTTAACTAACCCAAATAAAAAATCAATTTATATATATTTAATTTTTTGTCATTCAGAATACTTTTTGTTTTTGTAATAGAAAATCCAGGTTTCACCAGTGAAAAATGTCCCTTGTTTCTTAGTTTCCTTCTTCCTAACCTGCCAGGAACTGACCTTCCCTGCCCACTACTTGCCTTAATATCTTAAAAGTCAAGGCCTGTATCTTTTTGAATTTGGAAAACGAAGCAGAATTAATTATTTATTTATTTATTTATTTATTTATTTATCTCCATGCCCAACATCATGCTTGAACTTACCACCCTGAGATTGAGAGTAGTGTGCTCTACTGACTGAGCCAGCCAGGGGCCCCTAGAATTTCATTTAAGTCTTAATTTCTGGTTAATTTTTCTTTTTTTTTTTTTTTTTTGAAGTTTATTTATTTATTTTGCGAGAGAGAGTGTGAGTTTGAGTGGGGTAGGGAGAGATAGAGAATTACAAGCAGGCTCTCCACTGTCAGACTTGGGGGGCTCAAACTGTGAGATCATGACCTGATCAAAAATCAAGAGTTGGACGCCTAACCAGCTGAGACACCCAGGCACCCTTATAGTTAATTTTTCTTTCTCTTAATGGTGTGGGATGTCCTTCCAGGAGAAACGGTAGGATTTATTTTGCTAACCTTCTGAATTTAATTTGCTCTCCTTTCGTTCTGTTGGAGTGGTAAATAGGGCCAAAATACAGGAGTATCCCACTTTTAAAAAATGCAAAACTTTATTATTTTTTATTATGTGATATTTTAAACATAAAAGCATAAAGAATAATAAAACCACTCCTCATATGTCTATCACTGTTTATTCTTTTAAAAAATAATAGCTTTCTTGCAATATGATTTATATAACGTACAATTCACCCATATAATTTGTACAACTAAATGTAGTTTTTGTATATTTTACTTTGTATATTTAAGATATGTGCAACCATCACTTGCACTGCAGTCAATTTTAGAATATTTTTATCACTTCAAAAAGAAAACCTGCACTCTTTACCTACAAGTCTTCTGTCCTTTATTTCCCACCAGAATTTATTTTCTTTCTGTATGGATTTGACTCTTCTGTACATTTTATTTGTCTACCTATTTATTTGTTTGCTTATTTACTTATTTTTAGTTGAAGTGATATTTTCCATATATCTTACAT